AACCAGATTTTTGTAAAAAAATATTCTAAGGAGTGAGGAAACAAAAGTGGAAATTTTTTTCTAGTTGTGCATTCTTTTACATCTGGTGTAAAGGAAATCCAGCTTTTTAGAGAAAAAGTCCCATACCGACATGGCTGCTTCAGGATCTGGACGGCTGGCTGTGATTGATGGAACCGTAAAATCTGTATTCTACCAAAGAATCCAGAAGGAGAACATCTGGTCATCAGTTTCTGTATTTACGCTCAAGCTCACATGGGTTATTCAGTAGGACAATGGTCCGAAGCACATCAGCAAGTCTTCCTCTGAGTGCCTCAAAAGACAATGAAATAAAAAAAGTGAAGGTATTGTAATTGACCAGTTCATGAAGCACCAGCTTCCTCTGGAAAGCTCCTTCCTTAATAAATCCAATTATTAACTGCATTCTGTATTTACTCCAGTTTTTTTCCTTCTTAAACAATATGTATATTTGCTTGAAATATTTGAGATTAAGATTGAAGTTAGCAAAATTAATCTGTAAGAAAGAACATTTTCCTCTGACACATTTAAAGCATTCCGTTTATACCTGGATTCAAAACTAATCCAGTTCAGAACATAACTGCCCTATATTGTGTTTCAAGCAAACGTAGTGGAGCTGTTGTCGACAAATTGTGTTATTTCATGTAAATAATACCATTTTCCAAACAAACAATGTAATAATGTACTGCCTTTCATGAGGAGGCAAAGGTAATGGGCCAAGGTGTTTCCTAAACACCACCATCATTTTCAAAACAGGTCTGCTGTGTTGAACAGAAAAACTGCCATAACACCAAAACAAATAAGTGATCATGTCCGTTTCTGAAATTACAGGATTACACTACAGCCATGGGTGAGCAGCGCCTGCAGCATAACTCACACCTTCAGACTGATTGTTTGATTAACTGACTGATAAAGTAAGTCAGATGTAGTAGAAGTAGGTAAGCAAAGGAATAAGCTGGAAGACATGAATTAAGATACGGTGAGGAACATTATTTTTTTTAAATAAGATTCACTAGTTTCTAATTATTTTAGAGGTATGTTAAACAGATTAGGATTATCGTTTTTTAAATGAAACAGTCATTCTCAGCTTTCTACCCCAGATTAAGTTTTATTTACACCTGAACTTTGACTGGGCCGTTCTAACACATAAATAGGCTCTGATCTGAACTGACTCTGGCTATTTTTTAAATTTCATTGACCTGCTTGAAGGTGAAGCTCTGACCAACTCTCAAATATTTCTACAGCTTCTTACTCATTTTTTTTCAGGATCAAAGTGTATCGAAGGCTAAATCCAAATAGGGCAAACTGTTAAGGGCTATTTAGGTAAAGCAGACGTGTGTCAGCGGTTTCCATGTTAAATACTGCCCGAATAGCGCTGGAAATAAGGAAGTAGGTAGGAAAAGGAGCTTGGGTGCTTCCTACAGTAGCAGCCATTCAAAATGACCCTTTCCAGTTAAATGCCAGCTGAATGGCAGCCCACTTCTCTACCACTCCCAGCAAAATCCTCTCCAACTTCCAGACACTGGAGTGACCCCCTCCTTCTCCTGGGAAAGCATATTTTTTAACTGTGACTCCACCCTTTCACTGAATTACAGGGTCTGACCAGGAGAAGGCACTTCTCTGTAGGTCTTAATGTCCACAAATAATGACAAAAAGAATATTTTAGTACAAAGATTGATGTTTAAAAAGGAATTATAGAGGACAAGCCAAGGACCCATCAAGGAAAGTGGGGACATTTTGAACGGCTACTACTGTACCATAGTTCCTTCAACACAGGTATCCTGAGGTGTTCTTATTTGGTGCTTAGGTGCAATAAGGCAGGGGTCTGCAACCTGCCACTCCAGAGCCATAAGTGGCTCTTTGAACCTTCAACAATGGCTCTTATTCATGGCAAAAAAATATTAAGTTCTAATAGTTTTAAATATAGTAATAAGACAAATGGCAGTTTTAGAAACTTTAGCAGTTTTTTGAAGTAATAGTTAAATTGAGTTTCCATAACAAAACAACATTAAAAGAACAAGTAAGATATCAAAACGTATTGTAAAATAAGTAGTCTAATCAACTTTTATTGAGCTGGACTCAATCACTATTCCTGCTTTAAAGGTTGCAGACCCCTGCGATAAGGAATCCAACAATTTTTTGCGTGACAGGACGCATAGGCACAGCCCACCTCCTGGCACTTCACAGAAATACATTATTCCGTAATATTCCACGAGAGATAAACAGCCTAATTCTGTCCATCTTCACATTATGTCTACCTGGTTCAGTTTAAAGAATAGCATACTTATGCTGCCACCACCGTGTTCCATTTTGGTGGTGTTAACTTTAGATTTTGGTGCAGTGCTAATTTTATGATTAACAACTATTTGAATAATAGTTCAAAAGCTGAATGCTGCTCCTCTGATCAGCTTCTCCTGGCATTTGCTGAGTCTCCTATATTGCTTGTGACTAACTTATTTCAATTGTGTCTAAGGAACTGCTTTTTCTCTTCTCTTTCCTCTATAAGAGCCAGAATTTGTGAAGGTTTAGCAGAGCTGTGGACAGATTATCTGCTTTGAATTGTGGATCCAGGTACATTTGGACGAATTAAAATGCACAGGTTTTGTTGTTCGAAAGTCCAGTAAAACCTATTAAAAACAAGAAAAGGTAACTGGAAGGTTTAAGGCGATATATTAGCTCACTGATTAAACCCATCTCAGCAGGATTTGAATGAAATCACATTTCCTCTTGGAATAAACATTCATACAGGGGGCGTGTATAGAGATGATACCTTAACTTGCGCAGTTATTTCACTCCATGACGGCAGCAGTATGGTTCACATTAAGTAAACAGAGGATTAAAGGGACAGATTCCTTTTCCCTCCACACTTAGCTCCTGATTACTTACAGGTGTGCACTACAAATGCACTCAGATTAGTCTTCCAAACTGGGGGTCAGCTCTGTGTCTGAGCTGAAACCTAACACAGAGGTCTGACTATGCTGTCCTGACGATGCAGGAATGTCCTTACAATGCAGGAATGTCGTCACTCCCGAGGCCCTAAACCAAAATTACTGCCAATAAATTTAGGATGTAAAACAAAACAAAAAAAAAGCACACAAACTTAAATGGAGACAAAGATATAAAACTGAGGTCAGTCATTAACCAGTTCTGAGAAAAATCAAACAATAATTAACCTTCATTTAACGACATCAAGGGAGGGAGAGGGATCTAAAACAAGGGAGGATGAGGAAAGTACGGCAGGAGGAAACAAAGGGGAAGGAACACAAGGGAGTGAAGCGGAATCAAAACAGGGAAGAAAAGACAGCTGAAGTGTTGGACCTCGGTAGTTCAGGCAAAGTCGACGCACGACTGATCAGAAAGGGATGAAAGAAAGGAAAAGTACATATCTTAAAATCAGATAAACTTAACCACAGGAAATACAAAAAACATTTTGAAAAATTAGACTAAAGTTATTAATTGGGGAAAATAACACTATCAACACCAACCTAGCTTTATGTGAAAATACTACCAGTAACCAGCTACAGCTTATTTACATCAAAGTGGAGGGACTTTAGTTGCAAGTCTTTAAATATAGATGACATACCGAAGGACATGCAGCAGCATCTCAGGTGTGTTCAAATCTGAACTTTGACAAGGCCGCATTGTCCAGCTTAATGCCCCCCTGCTTGGTAGAAACCAGAATTCATCACTCCATCAAGATCCTGAAACATAGAAGAAACCCCATACCATACCGCTACCACCCCCGTATCTGACTGTAGGATGCTCTCTATGTGAAACACTGTTTTACTCTAGGCGTAAAGGGACACAAACCATACAGAAGGTTGTATGTTTCAATCGTCAGTCCATAGCACATTTTCCAAAAGTCTGGAAGCTTATCAAGATGCTTTGGTAAATGTGAGATGGACCTTTGTGTTGTTGTTGGTCAGTAGTGGATTTGGCATTGGAACTCTCCCATGAACGGTCATTTTACCCGGATTCTATTGTTAAAACATGAACACTGACCTTAACTGAGAATAGCGAGGCTTTAAATACTTTAGTTGTTTTGGGTTTATTTTGTCTCCTTCTAGAGAAGGTCTTCTAATCGAGGGAAGGCTCATCATTATGCCATGTTTTTTTTTTTTCATTCATTGAGACAGTCGGTAACTCAAGCCCAAAAGCCAAAGTAATTTTTTTGTGAACCTTTTCTGCCTTACAGATGTCACTGGCTTTGCTTCTCATCTGTTCTCTAAATTTGGGTCAATATAAGATCTAAGCTGCAAGATATCGGGCAGATTTTAGGTCAAAGGCGTCTAACATTGCCCTTGAAACTGAGCAGTTTTAGCCTACTTCATGTAGTCAGACAGGTTCTTTGATTTCTTGTTAAGGCGTGGCATAGAATAACTTAAGCATTTGGTTATGTATTACACAATCTTACAAAGATGGCGCAATGGTATTTATACATAAAATATGTTAGTTATATATATATATATATATATATATATATATATATATATATATATATATATATATGTGTGTGTGACACATGTAATTTCTTTATTCCTCTATCTTTTAATGCTTCAGACAAAATCTTTATTGAAGCATTTAAAGATAGGGGAATAAGGAACTTACATTTTTTGCAGTATTTGGTCAGCTGATCAGTTATCAACATGGACAAGTCAACAAAACGTAGAGAAAAACAACATAGAAAATGGACTTACATAAGCCGATTTATCAAAGTAATATGGAAGTCAATAAGAGAATAAAACAGGATGGAAAGAAAAGTAAAAGAAAGCAGTATTGAAAGCAGTTGTCCTCTGCTTTCCGTCAGGACCCTGGATCTCCAAGGCAGCAAATCAATAAATGAAAGAGCGGGTGAAATGAAGTGGAGAAATGAATAGGAAGCTCCAAGACTCAAGCAAACAGTGAAAGCAGCTGCAGTGTCAGAGTTCAGATGCCCCGACTGATCACCAAAGATAAAACAGAAAGAAAGGAAAAAGGAAGCTGACCTCTGCCTTTCTCTCTGATCTTTTGGGCCACCAACTTGTAGTCTATGTCATTATCCATAACGAAAGAGTCTGGGGTGATGTTATTATGCAATAGATGCTGGAAGACCCCCTCCACAGCAAAGAAGTACGGCCTGTCATCGTTGCTGTTCGTGTTGTCAGTGTAGAGAAGCATGGCGTGCTGCCATTTAAAGGTCTGCTGGATCTTCAAACTAAACTCACCCAGCTTCAAATGGGTGGGGCCCGTGTTGGTGACGGCTCTATGAACTTTAAAGCCTATGGCACGGGCTCCGGCCGTCACCATGGGGACATCCCAGTGGGAGGTGAAACGAGCAACAGGTGAGGAAGAATAGACACAACCAGGACCGATGAAAGCCCAGGGATCGTAGGCAAATTTCAGGTCGACGGCGACCAGCGGCGCCATTGAATCAGAGCAGTAGCCATCTCTGTTCTCCGAGTTGCCATTAACCAGTTGCAGCTTGAGACCTGGGAGGAGCCAAGGGTCACAGTTCACCTTTGAAATGGCCTTTTTGATGGCCGGCGCCACTCTAGGCCACGCCCATGGATAATCCACGTTGGTCATAGGCAAGACAACTGCCAAAGTGACATTCTGACGAACATCTGTGGGGTTCCTGGAAGCGTAGGGACACTCATCGGATTGGATGATGGGGACAAGGATGAGCAGAATGAGGCAGAGCCAGGGCAGCATGATGACGAGATGTTTGGTGGCCAGACAGACAATCTGCAGGGAATAGATAACACTTTTTAAATGCAAACTGTTAGACCACCAAAGGGGAGAAACAAAACAGTTGTCTAATCCAAAATTAGGTTTTACACAGGCCTCAGTCTTAAATGTTATGATCCCCTGAATGAGTTATACATTTAATAACAAACACACACATTTATACTGCAGAAAACCTCAACACATTAGGTAAACTCAATGATATGAAGTCCGTTCTATTAAAGTTGTGGGACTTTTATGTGATAGCCTTTAGAACCTCTACAGTCCAAATACCCATTTTTGACATGAATCCATCTAATTTAAAGTAACAAAACAAACAAATAACCACCATTGTATTTTTGTTTTAACTTTTAAATAAAGAAAATCCTTTGCATAAAGAGGATGGGTACATTTTCCTCTATAGGTTGTTTAAAGTTGTGAAAAATAATGTAAAAAAAAAAAAAAACTGCCCTTAAAATAATTTTTGATTTATTTAGTGTCATTCTGTTAAGAAATCCACTCCACACATGTCTGTTCTTTTTTCTTGTTTTTCCTTTTTCACAATTTAAAATAATTACTCATCTCTTTATCATCTAAGCTTTAGTTTATTATTATTTAAAAGCTGTTAGAAAGAATAAGCCACTGTTGAAAGTAATAAGGAATCTGTGACAAGAACTTTGATTTGCTTTTTTTGTTTTTACAGATGGATTTGAAGTATTTTCCAAAAAAGAAAAAGGGGGCAAGACTAGCCATTTTAAAATAGGCCAAGCTGACTGAGACCCACTGCAAAAGACTTGGTTGTAAAATAATTATTAAAGCCTGGAAGAGCTGGGTAAGTATCAAAAACTGTTATTTTAGATGTTGGCTTTAAGACAATAGCATAAACCATATCCTACTACATCAGACTTGTCTTAGTTATCGTGTAAAATTTCAATCTATTCTACTAGATCTTGTGGTTGGGATGTGATAAATGCGAATTAATTCAAGTGGTTTGAAAAATTTTCTCTTAAAAGTAAAGTGAATTTTGTCTTCTGCGTGTTCTTAGTAAACAGACCTGTTTTAGTGTTAAACAGGCTGTCGGATGAGTTAAGGGAGGGGAAGGCAACCTAAACCAGATAAAGCTAAAGATGTATTGCAGTTATTTTTCCATGTTACAACCAGTCAGTTTCTGTAAAGAAAGTGACATAAAGATAATAATCTGGTGACAGGAAGTTGGCTTCTGGAGTTACTTTTTGAAAAGTCTACAATACCGGCTTCATCTGTAAGTTCTTATGCATCTAACAATAATAAGCAGCTTGTGACACTGTTTTAAGAGAAGAATTTGGAAGAAGGTAGAAGTTAACTCCTCAGCAGAGTCCTAATTCATGACGTTTTTAGAAGATTGCTATTCTCTCAAAATGTCATTGAACAGGACAATATTGTGTAGCGATTGTATGCCCAGTGGTTTGTACTTGAAAGTTACTTATTGTGCACTCTGTATTTCTTTTTTTCTGTCCTACGGTATTATAACTACCAAATTTCCCCTCATTAAATCCTGCTAAGCACAACAAACAGCCTTGTTGTTGGAGGATGAGCTGCTGGGAAATAGAGGATTTTTAAGCTGGCTGTATAGCTGAAATATGTTGCCTGCAACAATACTTGATGAGTTTACTTTTTATCTTATGAATATAACTGCTTTACAGTCAACAATTCAGTTATTTTCTGTAAACAGAAGAAAACATGTTAATCTATTTTCCTGCTGCTTACTCAACAACTGAATAAACTTTTCTTGTACTGAGAAATTAAATCCAAATTGAGTCATCCTCTTTTCTGAATGAATTCGTTTGAAAATTAATAGATTATCCTGAGGAACTGTTGCAGCATATTGGGACTCAGCCAGTGTTTCCATGAGGGATCCATAAACTGTTACCCATTAGCTCCATGTGGGCCCCATGTGTGTTTGAGGGTCCACAGATATGGAACTAATGAGTGCAACTGAGCTGTTAGGAGCTAATTGCAGGTTAAACAGAAGGTTTGACCATGTTTACAGATTGAGTAATGAGTAAACGTTTTCCAAAGAACTGAGATGTGTAGAATGATGACGATCTAATGTGCCGCTCCGTGAATCAGTGAACCGCTCAGACACATGTTCATATAAGAAGCAGTAAAGATGTAAAGAGGTGACTCATTAAATAGAATATGGATGGAGATGCTATAAAAACATTTACTGTTGTTGGGTCTCATCTGTGGCTTACTGAGGCGGCGGGGTTCTTTTCAGGACATGTACTGATGACTTTAAAAGGTCCCCATGCAACGCAAGCATCTCCCCAAAAAGTTTCTGAAAACTAACTTTGCAAATTACTCTCTTCTAAAATAAAAAAAAACAAAAAACAAAAAGGTAACAAAAATCCTGAATCTTAAATATTAAGAAAACTGGAGAGGAGGCTAACTGAAGCAATGCGTATGCATTTTTGTTTATGATTCAGTAGGTGTGTGTGTTCCGGTGAATGTGTGTGTCTGTGCCATTGTTCTCATGCAAGCCTTCAGTATTATATAAGTCTTGTGAAATAGCAGCAGAGACACAGTTACAGCAGATCAAACAGGACACAGACAGCAGAGGTGTATTTTCTTTTAAACTATCCTTATGCTCCTTTGCTGTCAGTTGGGTTTAATGAAAAAGAAAAAGGCAGCATCAACATCTGGCTGGAGGGTAATTCACCAAATACCAAACAGAAGCAGCTTTTTTTTTTAAATCTTTGTTGATTAGTAAGACTTTATATTAATGAGACACAAAAAAAAAACTTTAGATAATTTGTTATTTGCACAAAATAGCTAAATTTGCCTTTAGAATGTAATTAACTTCAATCTGTAAACATGTTTAAATGACATCATGTTTCAAACCCAATGAGCATAAAAATGGGCTGAAAAATGATTGTTTTCTTCCCTAAAATGACAAAAACCAAAAGAAGTAAGTTCCTTAGATGGATGATTAACCATCTTTTTTATTATTATTATTATTATTATTATTATTATTAATAGACGTATCAAATAAATGTGTGGCTGGTTGTAATTGACAAAAAACAAACAAGCAGTATTAGGCAGCTTTGCTCATGACACAGCTAAGAGAAAGCAGGGAGTAAACAGGCAGACCTCTGACGAAACTTTGGCTGTTGTTTGTTTGCATAAAGTTGCAAATCTGAGAGTTTTTCCCCTCACTGTTTATGTTTTTCTCACTCTCTAGCAAAGATTAGATTCTGAAATATTAAATAAAAAATAAATGTTTCAAATTTAAAAGAATTTAATAAATTATAATTAAATGAGCAACTCTCTTAATGATCCCCTTGTATGTGAATTGTTCAGGCTCAGGCAATGGATTTCCCCCCCCTTCATTTTCGAGTGATATGAGTTAGAGTATTTGATAACAACTGTTTTTAGATTAAATATTAATATTTTAACTCCCCAACCTCATGTGTAGCATTAGCACTGAGGTACCTCACAGCGCAGCTTTTTCCTTAACTGGTCACTGTGATGAATTGCAGACAAACTGGGCTTACTACAAAGAGCTTTTAGAATCCTCTCCATGGTGCTAGTTGGGTAGCTCCCTCTACTTCAACACATAATTCTCTATGAATTAAATTTCAGAATTGATTAAAACCATGTTTCTCTTCATCTGGGAAAAAAATAACAAAAAAAGCTTGTATATGCACTAAAAAAGGTATCAGTATAATAACGTAATAATAACAGCAAAGTGTAAATAATTATTGGAAACACTAGAAACTGTGAGCTTGCAGAGGATTTCTGCTTTTGCGATATTTTCAATTCTTGTCTGTCAGATTATAAATAAATAATAAAATGTTGTTTAACTATCACTATATAAAAAAGCGCACCCACATACACACACAACCAAGTGTCTCTATCCTTGTGGGGACCTTCCATTGACTTCCTTTGCTTATCCTGAAACTAAATTATGGGTTCATACGTGACCCTAACCTCAACCTAAACTTAATTCACACGTTAGTCCTAAACCTAGCTAAATTCATACCTTACCCTAATTTAACACTCCAACCATAATGGAGTGTTAAATTCAATGCCTTACCTTTAAAAACCTTTTCATAAACCTAAAGTCAACAGACCTCTTGCTTAAGCCTAATTCCAAGGGCGTAGGTTTGATTTCAACTTTTATAGGGACACTATTGGTCTGATGCCATTGGTCCTATGCAAAAATATGCATGCTTGCTTTTTTATGCTTGACGGGAAAATCAGGGTGTATTTCGTTTAAAGAGAAAAAAGCAACGTTTCTTGCTACATTTATACAAATTTTATAAGCACTACACAGACTAGATGCTGTTTATCAATGACTGAAGCTTAACTGGCTATGATGAATGAGGGAATTAGGACTTTTTTCCACTTTGAAAAGGTTTGCATTTGAAATTATCATTGACTAAGACAGTAGGTAAATCTGTGTCTATTTAACAGAATATAGTCTAAATATGTCTGCTATATGTGAATTTATACTTTTTTTTATTTTGAAGGTGTAGAATTGTGCAGGGGTAAATAGAGGTAAAACCCACTCTTTTAAATGTTCTCTTTGTATCATGAAATAAAGCGAAATAATAGATTCAAGGGACGTCAAATAAATGTATTGTATTTACATGTGCCCTGGAACTAGAAGAGGATCTGACACTGAGCATTAAATATAATTACCTCACACTACAAGTTGTACATCTATGATGTAGTTACTCTGTTTAACCCATTTCATGTATTTTATTTAGATCTGAAACAATTCATTGGATTAATCAATTATGTAAATAATGTCAACAAATTTAGTAATCAAGTAATCGTTAACTGGAGTATAGAGACTCTAAAACATGTCTTTAGCTCATAGAGTGACCCACTTAGAGTTGGTAGGAACAAGTAGGTCGGTCAAAAATTTTGGTAGGGACATGTCCCTATGGTCCCTATGCAAACCTACGTCCATGCCTAATTCAGTATATTCAATATATTTAACACCTTACCATGATGACCTATTGCTAAACCTAAGA